GGGTTTTACTGTTTTCATACTCATTGCATTTCAGCTTCCTACCATTAATGCTGCTGCCAAAATTATGTTCCTTAGTTCCAAGCCTACCTTGCAAATGATGTGCCTGAGAGTGCAGTTGGGGCTTCTTTTTGGAGTTGCATTTGTCTTTGCTGCTGTTCCTGTTCTCTGTCAGTTTGGTCTGAGGAGGGTCATCATTTGTAGTCAGATACTTGAGAAGCTCAGAGCAGGGACGTCTTTGTGGCTTCTGCTGTTGACAAATGCTCTTTGATTTATTGCTCCATGAATTCTCGGTCTTAAAAACAAGGCATAATAAAAAAAAAAAAGAAAGCTAAAATTAGAGAACTGAACCTTATCAAAATGGATATAGTTTTCTGAAGAGATGAGATTTTCAATGAAGTGTTCAGTCTAAGTGTACTAGATCTATGAGCTGTGAATAATTGTTTGCAGAACAAGGAAAGAAAACTACATTTAAAATTCCTAAATGACATTTATGCAGCTTTTTATTTCATTTCTCCTACATTTTAATGTTCCTACTCAGCAACATGTAACTAACAAGACCCTACAGCGCCTTTACCGTGAACAAGAAAATAAGCTGGTTTAAACCTTAATTTGTGGCTGATTACTTGAGCCCAGTATTCACAACTCTCTTAAGTACACCTAAATGCTCCGTTTTCAGTTACAGTGAATGGCAAGACAAACATTGCTTAATACAGCCTGCTAACAGAATTATGTCATTGCCAGCATCCTATCCAATTAATGGCTGATACAGACCTTTTGCTGGGATTCCAGTGCAATTTTTCTTAAATTAGAGAGCTGGTAAAATGGCAACCCTGTATCTTAGAATCACTCAAACATCATCCCCACAACAAATTTTATTGCATCCCCTATTATTCCCTATATGTATAAAGTGGGCAAAGAGAAACAAAGGGACTAGCAGCTAATTCTGCCAAAAGCAAAGGCATAAATGAACTACTCACAACATAAAGGAGCTCCAGTGATTTTTTCTGGAACCTAGTCTATAATCTGTCCGCATTTTTTAAAGGAGTTGCAAGACGCAAGGCAGATTAATACTGAACATATACAACTACTACTTATTCAATTGCTGAAAGGAAAAATGACTTTGTTACATTTTTTTAACCTTGTTACAAAGATTAAGTTTGTACCTTAACAACCACAGGGCTTGTTCTGATCCTGTGATTAGTGTTTGCATGGTTTTGTGTGCTGAGGCGACTGCATTCATTGTAATTTAGCTGAGTGTTGGCTGGAGCCAGCAAGAGCTTCTTAAGCTACAAACATATCAGGAAAGGGGAGGTGGAGGGGGAAAGAGAAAAGTTATGCATCTTTAAGGATTAAAATAACTTATCTGAATTTTTTGCATAGTTACTTAAAATTAGTTACACCAATCTCTGCAAGCAGTGTACAATTACACAGAACAAAGTGCTTGAGAATCCCCAGAGCACAAAAGTTTGGTTTCCTTCTATTCGTTTGCTGGGGTACTTCCTTTTCCTGTACTACAGGAAACTGCAAAGCAAAAAGTGATTGCTTTGGTTTTCCATCAAGTGAGGAACCTCCTCAACAGAAGATTGGGTAAAATCTTTAAAGTTAAGGATCTGAACTTGTTCCTGCCAAAGTAATGATAGCAGAAGCAGCATCAGATCTTCACACTGTTTTTGCAAAGATACATGATGGGTTTGCATCATACTTCAAAACTCACTCCAAGTCCACTGACTTCAGTAGAATTTTTCCATTGGTATCATTGGACACTGGGCTTTGAGTGAGGGTATGGACACACATACATTTGGAGGCATTTCAAAAAGGGAACATTTCACAAGGGCAGCACCTGTTGTGTTATTATTGTTACATTTGGACAAGCTAGGAAGGACACAAAGGGCGCGTTCCCATGAGCGGGAACGTGCGTTTCCCTGAGGACAAACAGCAACAGCACAATATGTGCCGCTGCTACTTGTCCCTGTGGAACGGCTGTGCACATGCACTCTGGCACATGGCTCGTTGCTCCAAGTGGGGTAGGGAGGCTGAGGCTCCGGTTTCAGGTGGCGCATACTGCTGCCACATGCACCACCCCATTTTTTTAGGCACAGGGTTTTTTTTACACTGGGATCTCCTAGTGTCAAAAATTCCCCCCACACTGCATGTGCGGCACATGCGGTGTGCAGCATCACAGACAGGTCTCTGAAACAGGATAGCACACATGCGTGCTCGTTTGGATGTGCCCAAATGTAGTGAAACCACTCCAAATTTAAAGTGGGAGTGGTTTTGCTACACTTGTATTGTTCCAGCTTGCCCACATGTAACAATCAGAACATGACAGTTGCTGTCCTTTTGCCCTGTTCCCCTTTCAAAAGAGCTCCAAATGTCCATACCCAGATATATCAATCTCAAAATCAATATTTTGCAATTTATACAAGACAATGTGTGAGGAGTGTACAGCACAACTGTTTATACTGTGCAAGAATGCTAAAGGTGGAGACTCCCCCTTTGCCCTTCCATTAAGCACCAGGCCCATTAATGGGTATCTCCTTACACATTATTGAAAGTGACTTCTATACATACACTATTCTAAAACAACCAAAAAATGAAACCTGAATTAAAACTACTGCTATGACTTAGGTGAATATAATGATAAGCAAAAGTGTCATTCACTAGAACAAGAATGTCAAACAATTCCTCTTTGACACATTTTTAATATAACCCCTTAATATTAATTCTAATATTATAGTCACATCTAAGTTATAGCATTTGACTGGATTCTCCTTTGGTTTCAGTCTAAATGAAAAGTCCAAACCTTACTGTGACTACATCATACCCATGCAGCGGGTAGCCAGAGGCACATCCAATTCCTGTTAAACAGTAGGAAGGATTCTTACTAGAGACGGCTCTTCTGCCTCCTGAGCTGGAGGGGTGCCGTCAGGCATTGGTGAAGGGCTAGTATCATTTTCATTGGTCACTTCTCCATCTGTCAGTGCATCAAATGAAGGCAATCCATCCTCATCCACAGGGATACTGTCCAGTGTCTCTGTGAGAACTGCCAGCAAGTTTGCCTCATTCTCTTCATCTATCTTCTGTATGAAGGGAAACATGGAAACAGATAAAGAGAGACATGAGGAATAATGTGCTCAATCTATATATTAAAATTAAGCACCTCAGCAAAATTTATAATAGCAACCTGCAATGACATTTGACAAGATATAATTATTTACAATGAAATTACCCATTTCTACATTTGGTGATTTAGTGAGAAAAATCTGTTTGCCTCTGCATTGCATCTTTCCAATTTACTTTCTTCCCTAGTTGTTTTTTAAAAACAGCAACCCTACTTCCCCATTATTAACAACTATAGTTAAATTATCACATAGGGACTGTATTACCGAATGCACCTAAGTTACTGACATCTAATGAAGCAAGCACTGCCCGGGCTGTCTCTCTCTCTCTCTCTTCGGCACTGAGCACCAGTTAATTGACCTGACAAAATTACAAGAATCACAGAATAAGACAGCTAATCAGAAGACCAAAATGTATTACTAGGAGAAATTAGGCAAGTCTTTATCACGTATGCAGCTAGTGTAATGGACAAATTTCCGTTCCTCACCTCTGAACATTCTTGGTCCAAAAACAAATACAGAAGTCCCCATTTCTAAACATTTTGACATAAGAATAGCAATCAATGTTCATATTATGAATGGCACACTCTTGGATTCTTTTTAAACAAATGTATTAGGCAGGTTGCCTTTGAAGTTTGTCCTTTCCAGTTATGTAGTCTGAGTGCTGAATGTGACTATTGTATGCATTTATCTAATTCAGACTGCAATTATAAAAAGCAGATTAATTCCTAATCAGATGTGGCTGTTATGCTAATTTATATTAGATATCTTATTTCAGTAGTAACAGGCCTTGCTTTTGTCAAATCAAGTAAATTTAAATTCCTTTAATTTTTTTTTAATAGAAAACATTTCCTAATATCCATTAATACTTAATTTTGAATAGCATGCTTGGAAAACATTGTTTCCCACCACTCTGTGCTCCCCACCCCAAATTTTAAATATTTTATATGTATAGAGAGATATTGTCACAGCAATTATTGTTGGGAATCTCATCCAAGTCATGCTAAAGTCAATGAAAAGACTTCCATTGACTTTAGGGAGTCTTTAATTCAAATCCCACTGAGGCCAATTGGGAGTTTTTCAATTGAATTTAAAGGGACCTGATTAGGCCCCGATGTACACCATGAAAAAGTAACCTGAGCAAGCATTTTCTAGGGTTTTAACAGTTTAGATGTACAATACCAGTAAGGAACAAATAAGCACTGAAATATAAAATACCAGGAAGTAATTAAAATACCTTTCTCCATAAAAAAAACAGTAAATCCAGTAATTTAATAGCAAAATATTGCCAGCTAACCTTTTGGAAGAGAAAGCAGTGATATGTAGTCTAAGTATAGTCACACTGTTTACCTGTCTTTGAACAGAGCAGAATTTGAGCATTCTTCTTTCAAGAATCTTAAGTAAAATAGCTCTGCCCATTGTTTAAGGAGCAACAATTAAGATAAAGCAGAAAGCTTCCTGCTGCTTGCAACAGCAGCTCAGAAGAGAAACTGTATCATGAAAATGAAGAAGACTGAACAATGCTTAGCCACCAAGAAAAAGAATCTTATGTTTAACAGCAGTATCTAGTGAGTCCTGTTATAACAAAAGAAACAAGTACACCATCAGCAAGACAGCAGAATCATAAGTGTAAGCATAATTCACCAGTTTAACTCAGTTGTTAATTGAAGGAAAGTGGAAGAAGAGGAGAGATGGAAACCAAGTTTTTGAGTAGAATCCTGCTCTGCAAGTTGCACTGTTGTAATAAAACAGCAAAATAATGGTTCATATTCTGGCAAATCATTTAAAATCAGTTACTATGGACAAGTCTTATGCTAGTTAATAGAATGAAAACTTTTCTATCAAGTGTTTAAACCGACTTACAGAAATCTATAGTAGACAGATAACAGTCTACTGAGGTGGGGTGAATGCCACTCCTAAACTCATTACCCCAAGCAATCCCAGTAGCATTCTCCCTACTCGACCACTAGCTCTGTGGTCAAAATGCCTCTGAGGGTTTTCACTGGTATGTTGCTCCTCCACCCACACCCCACCTCCACTGTGTACACAGCAGCCTACCAAACCCACAGCAATGCCCCAAGTGTTACTATTTCTGACCAGGAATGCTGTCTTTAATAATACAATGCTAGAAGAAACCCCGATATTTGCTGTTAGCTGTTTAGCTCTCATGCTTTAAACAGACATTCAAGTGCACTGACATTCAGGAACAAAGTTGAGTGGACACTGGCCCTCATCATAGCAATTTCAATTAGTTTTATACAAGTTTCAACAATCAAACACCCCAGAGAGAGCAAAGAATGTGACAAAGAGGACTCTGTTAAACAATTAATGTCACTTTCCATTATTGCTTCAGTCCCAATTTACAGAGCAAATAAATCAAAGTCACCACAGATGAAGCACACTAGCTGGCTAACACATGTCTGTTCACAAACGACATGGCAGCAGGAACACATTAGTCAGGAAAATGACATTGCAAGATAACCTTTAGAAGGTTTAACTATGCTATTGCTTCTAATTGTCCTAAATTACTGTTTATAAAGAAACATATTTATTAGAGACAGAAGAAAGGGTGTTGAGAGGAGATGGCGACAGTGAGATGGAAGAGCAGATCAACATCTGAGCAATAATCACTGAAGCAGCAACTCTCTGGTTCACTATCACAGGCTGAGTCCTAGTGTTGACAGCACTGGGGAGAAGCTATGCAGCAGCCAAATGCAGTAAATTTCACCATTTCAGCCTTCCCACTTATGAGGGTTATTTTTCCATACTGGCTTCCGACCTACTAATTTAAGAGAGCCTCATCCTGTGAGCTGCTGGAAACGACTTCAAGGCACTAAACACCTTAAATTCCCTGGGTGCTCAGAGGGAACTGAGACTGCTCAGCATGCTACAGGAGGCAGCCAACAGTAGCTCGCTGACGGGAGCCCATGCCTTCCAAACAGGGTAACGTGAAAACTGTACTGACTTCCTCTTCAATCAGAAGCTATTAAGTATCAGGAAGAACTACTTAAATGGACCTCAGCATAGAAGAAGATGGAGTAGTGGATGCAATTGTTTGACAAATATATGCAAATATGGCATTTCTGAAAATGCCCTGCAATGACTGCTTATCACTGTAACCTCTTAAAGTCTTTGCTGCAAGTAGAGATGTGCTTAAAGGCAGGCAGAAAAAAATAGTGGTGACCAGAACATGCCTGGCCCCTGCATGTGTTCATCTCTGGTGGACCTAGTCATAAATGCAGTCCCTCACCACATCTGAGATTCTAATCTGGTTTAATTGTCTCTGACAGTGTTGGGCACCAGGTGGCCTGGGAACATCCCCCTGCAGGCCCCACCCATCATCACAGCCATATGAAAACTACAGGTAGGGGCAATTTTCATATTGGGTTTCCCTA